GAATTGATCGCTTCTGGGATATATTCTTCAACCAAAGCGTACATGAAAAACGCATTTGGTGGGAAATATTTATTTCAACACAAATTGATCAACAATAATGAACTAGCAGAGAAAGAGAGAGAGAGAGAACGAATGAAGAGCAAGCGAGATAGCTAACATGAAAGACTTCCGAAGTTTAGCTCGAGAGGCTCGCTTTATCTATAATCTCTCGCGTTATATATAGTTACTGTAAAATTTTTGTTTTTCGCGCTTATTGATCCGAAAATAATTACAATAAATTAATCTATCGCGACATCACGCAACTAATCTACTGCTCTGTTTTACTCTTGAGCCTCGATCTCGCACACACACATATGCACGAAAGTGTTGCATCGTAAAATCTTTTTTATTAAGCTTCTAAACACACTTCTCTAAGCTCACTTATACTCTTTGATGAAATGCCGAGTGCGGGGTTTACTCATTAGGCACATGCAGATTACAAATTTGTTATATTAAGTAAATGTTGACGGTAGAAGCCGATAACAAAACTGATTTTTCTCATTTTTTTTTACTTTTCATATGAAATGTTAAATTCCGCACTCCGTTATTATGTATACCTTAATTGTGGAAAAGGATTTGTTGATATCTATAATCAACAAAGAGATTTTGAATTTTAACTAATATTCGCATTCTGTCGGTAATCCGGCATCCTCTTAAGTTATATAAGAGAATCTATATGTTTAGCAAGCAAATATTTTCTTTACAGGATTTCAATTTATCATAGCATTGAAAGACAAAAATACTGCTTTAATTGGACAAAGTTTAATGGCACAAACTGTTTTTTTGGTAAAGCTATCAGTGTACAGCTTTATCGGAAGTTATCTAAAGTCCCAAATGGAAGATATAGGCTACTCTATTTATCAAAGTGCTTGGTATGAATTTCCTATCAAACTGTCGAAAAATCTAGTCTTCATCTTTATGCAGACAGAAGCTCCAGCCATGTTTCAAGCTGGAAATTTTATTGTGGTAAATTTGTCAACTTTAGTAAACATTTTGAAAACTTCTTTTTCATATCTGTCTGTACTTCGTATAATGGTCGATGTTTGAAATATAACATGTGTAAATATAAAATATTTTTAGAAACTATAAATTTATAATATGTTTGACAAAATAAAAAATAACTAAAATGTTATAGTTTATTCAAATGTCATCAATAAAATTGTTAATTAAAATCGTATTTAATTATTATCAATCATTGCACTCATTGGATTATTATATTAATGCGGCAAGATAAAACTTAACAATTTTATTTATCTATATCGCATTATATATTCTCAGTATGCCAACTGCGATGACCTGCAACATAAAGAAAGAAGTGTGTTATTCGCTATGTATTTTCACTTTGGACAGATTGAATCTATACTATTTAATTTAACGGATAACCAGATTAAATAAAATGTAGTATAGATACGTAGGAGGAAAACACACACTTTTTTTCTAACATTTCACATAGTAAAGGAATAGTTGCTCCACGGACGACAACAATTTAGAATCTGTGATATGAATTTTTATTCAACAAACACATATTGCATAAAAGCGTGACCTGCATTTACATTTCATAATGTTTTAAAAGTATCGAAGCAGACTGATAAGCATGTACAGTCTGTTTGATAAGAGCGTGTCCGGCTCTCGATAAACAATTTATTGTAATGACTTGGAATAAAATACACACATACTACTTGATTAGAACTATGATGCTTTATTATTAATAAGTTGTCTAGTCGCCTTCGTTCTCAATAATTGCCTGGCATCTCCGAGGCATATTTTCACCTAATTTATGGCACACTCTTGAGGTGACTTAGAGATTTCCAGATCAACTGAGTTTGTCGAACTAACTCATTGACTTTCCAAATTTTCTTTCCACGAAGTTTAAGCTTCATCCAAGACCAAACGTTTTCAATGGGATTTGCAGCCGGTGATTGTGACGGTCAATCCACGGCTTCGAATCGCGAAATCACGAATTGCGTATGCGGCACTCATGGCGAAATATGTCTTTTTATCACGAAGATCGAACGTCAACTGAAGCTTTCTATACAAAGCATCTTAGGCGAAGGGTCTCTCTACCGGCTCCTGTTGAAATTTTCCGTTTAACGATTTTCAAGTAAAAGTTTTGCCGGACACGTTCTTATCAAACAGACTGTATATCTTTCACGTTGAATAAAAAATAAATCGTAATACCAGCATTTTGTGTTGATACAACATCGTCGGTGGCTCTAAGAGTGTAGAGAAAATTTGATAAGAAAATATCTCTTACGTAATATCCCTCATGAATAAAAAATAAGTTGGAATACCTGCGTTCTGTCGATATAGGGAGCAGATCATCGGTTGGCATTAGTTAGAGTCATTATCTCGACAATGACAAATAAACAGTGGAAGAACGATATCGCATACGCGATGACCCCTTTCAAATTGATTACGTGGCCTATCGGCGTATGGCCACTTCAAATTTATAACATTTATTCGCTATTGCGTTGTGCTTTAGGCACTTGTTGTGCGGTAAGTATCTTTGAGAACTCGCATATCATTGATACAATCGCGACCGTTTGAAGACAATGAAGAATATTTTTTATGTTGATATTGCAACGCTCTAAAGTACATTTTGGCGTAGAAATGAGAATATAAAAACTTTACATTTCCTATTCTTGATAACTCCTATTCTTGTATATGGTGAAACGCTTTTTCCAGCTGTAATAACATTTTAGATGGGTTGTTTATCAATACAATTGTAAGTCGTTGAAAAATTCTAAGGAATAAGAAAGATAATCTTTTTATATGATTTATGTATGTTTTTTTTTAATCATATGAAAAATTATACGATTCTTTTCGAGAAATGTTATAGAAAGCATGCATTATACATTACTTATTTTATGATTCTATCATAACAATTATATGTGAAACAAATTTGATAATATGCTACAAAATATCACATAAATTTTAAATAACATTTACTTTTGTGAAATTTTTTTGTGTTTTAGATTTTGAGGCACGATTACGATAACTACGGCCCAAGAACCAAATTTTCGTTTCGAATCTAACCCAATCCATCTCCCACCCACACAACAAAATTGTGAGGTGGACCTCGCTTCGCGTTGTAAAGTATATGCATGGACGCAGTGGGTTCCGCCCCCCCCTACGGGGGGGCTCCACTTCCGAAAGATATAACCTAACCCAAACCTATTTCTGATTTGAAACTAAAATTTGGTTTGGGTTACGTTATATAACTCAAACCTAATTTTCGTTTCGAATTAAACTTTAACTTTAAATATCTCAAAAATTATAAGAGACTACCGATTAAGTTATAAGGACAAGTTACTCAGGATCATGATCTTGACAACATATGTCAAGGTCAACATCGTTGGATCCGTTTTTATAAAGTTTTATTATCATGTCCAATACTTTAAAGTGATATATCTCGAAAACTATTGGTCGGAAACTTTTTTTACTATTTTTCCCGTGTTCCTTGTCAGAAATGTCCTCAGAAACGACCTTTCAAATAGGGGGCCGTAATTGTCGTAATCACCCCCAATTTTGACATAAAAAATTTTTTTATTTATTTTAATAATATCTTCTTTTTTTATTTTAATATTGAAGGACTACATATAATCAAATATATAAATAGGATACACAAATAGGATATACAATTAGAAAGTATCGTCATTATATTTGTATTTGTTTATAATTAAAAAAGTCTAGGTCTTTTATTATTTTAACAATAACAACAAAAATTCTTACAAATATGGGTAAGATGCTGGACAACTGGGTAAGATGCCATCATTCCGTAATTCTTAAGTTCTTTGATAAAGATTTTTTATTTAATCAAAGTAATTTCAAAGTATATGCCTTACGTAATAATCAACATAGTTATAATTATATTAAATTGTATAATATTAACTTTTTATACATTTGCGATTAGATTTTATAGAAAGTAACTTGATGTCGATATCTGCATGCCGGAATAAGATGCTAGAACTATCATCTTTCCCCGATAAAAGTGCGGCATCTTACCACACAGTAAACATTAAATATAAAAATTAAAAAAAGATACAAAATACATGATAATGTTTGTAACGAATAGGTTACATGATTTACTAAGAATATTAATTTAAATAAATCTACTCACACTTGAGGAGTACTTACACATAAGTATTATGTAGCAATAATGTTATATTTTAGAGTACTATACGATAAGATTTAAACTAGCCATATTTTTTTAACTTACCTTGATTAATTTAAAAATATAGCACAAAGAAACGACAGCGCACTGTCGTTTCGTCATCTGTACTATACACGATCAACTGAGTAGATTAGTGGTATCCTTAAAAACTTAAAAAATAATGGAAAAGAGCCATTTTACATGTCATCTTCCTCCGAGTTGCCCTATGTGATTATATGTATAATATTTTGCATAAATCAGAAAGAGAGAGAGAGAGAGAGAGAGAGAAAGAGAGAAATTGAGCGAGAGTAGGAAAGAGAAGAAGCATGAGAGTAAAAAGTAGCATTCAAATATTTTTTTACATAGAAATATTTGTTAGAAAAAATTTACATTGAGTTAGGAATGAAATATATTTTCATTTTGAGCACAAAACATCATGTATGGGGAAATGTATCAACAGAGCCTAGTTGTGATCTTGCCTTCCATGGAGCTATACATGGGCTGTACTGACGTAGAGCAGAACGTAGACTGTCTGATGTTAATCTGTTGCGGACTTCTCGGTGTGTTGAAGACGACATGGTTCCGCATTTATGCAGATGGTTTAATTACCAATTACGACTCTGCTCTAAACGATTATCTGACGATTGACAACACAAGAGAGCGCGACATTATGCGAAAACATGCTTTTATAGGAAGAATTCTTTGTTGTTCCATGCTGGGCTTTTCTTACTTTAGTTGTTTAATATATGGGATAATTCCTATATTGAATTACGACCAAGGTAATCGGATTAACATAACAAACGAAGATATGATATTGGAGTATACTATACCATCAAGATGCGCTCTAGAATATTTCAATTTTCCAATCAGCATGTATAAACTCACTTGTCTCGTCGAAACTGTTATAATGATACTGGCAACTACAGCTAATCTTGGTAATATTTATCTAATTTTTTATAGGCATTTTGAGTCTTATCCAGTATTGCTAGGAAACAAGAATTTTTTATTAAAAAGTATATTTTTCTACAATACACACACAAAGATTTTTATTGATTTTATTAATATTATGCACTTTTTTGAATATAGATAACATTGCAAAGGCGCAAAAGTTTGCGTGGTTTCACAGCAAACTGTTCCATTGAGATAGTCCGAGATGCATTAAAAGCGACCAGTTCTCCTGATCATATTAAAATAGATAGCAGAATTTCTTTTTTTAAGAAATATAAATGAAAATGATTACACATGGTTGTTTCAATGTATCTCGATACTACTTGTTCACTGCCCGACAATGATTCATTCCGTTTCCCTAGGGAGATAAACATAGGAGTGGGGATATTTATCCTACGTTCATCGTATGAGTACCCTCACTTCTACATTCACTTCGCTAAGAAAACGGACATTATCGGCCAATGTTTAAAAAAGAAAAACTTAAAATTTTCGAAAACTTTTACGCCTTATGCAATGTATATCATGTTTTATATACAGTGAGGGCACACATGCGCCAAATAAACATGTGCTTACGTGTCGAGACTCGAGATTTGTTGTGATAGAAACGGACAGAACTTTCCGGTAGACCTAATACATATACACATATACACATATACGCATATGCGCATATACGCATATATCTATATATCCATATATACAGGGTGTAAATGAAAAAAATATATGGAGCATATCATCAGATACAGGCCAACAATCTAAATCGAAAAGTCCTGAACCATTTTTTGATCTAAGCTTTCTTCTCATTGTTATACGATGTTAAAGTTAGTTAATCAGCGCCTATTTATACAGCGGAAAGCCGTCTCGCTACTCCGACCCCCACCGTACTTTCCCTGCTTTCCGCTGTAGACAGGCGCTAATTAGCAAACATTGTTTAACAACGAAAAGAAAGTTCATATCAAAAAATGGTTCAGGACTTTTTGATTTGGATTGTTGTCCTGTATCTGACGGTGTGCTCTATATATGTTTTTTTCAGTTATACCCAAGTTTATATATACACATATAAAGGGTGATTCAAAACAACCATTTGTCCTTAAAAGGTCGTATTCCTGAATCAATTCTAAGACGATTTTTCCGTTACGGAAATTTCATCTGAAGCTTAGTTTTTAAATTATAACAAGAAAGAGTTAGCGAATTACGGGACGAGTACAGAAGGTAGGCAGGGGCGGCGCAACTCACCGTCCGATGCAAGCGCTTACATGAGCTACAGCTGATCGAGTGCTGTTTGCTACACGCGATGGATGTGTGTGTGTGTGTGTGTGTGTGTGTGTGTGTGTGTGTGTGTGTGTGTGTGTGTGTGTGTGTGTGTGTGTGTGTGTGTGTGTGTGTGTGTGTGTGTGTGTGTGTGTGTGTGTGTGTGTGTGTGTGTGTGTGTGTGTGTGTGAACGTGTACGCGTAATACTCACATACACACAATCTCTTTCTCTCTCTCTCTCTCTTCCCCCCCCCTCTCTCTCTCATTCGCTCACTCACTCATTCACTCACTTATTCTTACCTTGTAGAGATTCGATTCTTCATACTGTTCACAAATAATTGCTGCACGGCCGTGGATAGCACGAGAAATGTTCCAATGTGACACACGTAATAAGAAACACGTAACAAGCAATAAGAGAAGTTTTTTTCATTCATGAATTGTATAGACACTTTTACTCACGCACTTAATCGATAAAATAAAAAATTTATTAACGATTATAACGGATAATCACAATCGATCACTACTGATTAATTATTCACTTAATTACTTGAAGAAACGCGTTAAATGCACAGCGTACGTTACTCGACGCGGAGACCGCGCGACGACAACAAGCGCGAACATGTGTCATGTAATTGGGCGCGTTCAGCAGAGAAAACCGCTCAGTAGCAATCGAACGTGATTGGCTCTTACTTTTAGAACCAACAAATTAACGTCGAGTGTTGACAAGACAATAACTGAGCGCTTTCTCTGTCGAACGCGCCCATTGATACAAGTTCGCGCTTGGCAGCGCTAATACCGATATAGCTTGCTTGTTGCCGTCGCTCGGTCTCCGCGCGCGCGCGCCCACACACACACACACACACACACACGCGCGCACACACGCACACACACACACACATTCATTGCGTGTAGCAAATAGCACTCGATCAGCTGTAGCTCACGTAAGCGCTTGCATCGGACGGTGAGTTGCGCCGCCCCTGCCTACCTTCTGTACTCGTCCCGTAATTCGCTAACTCTTTCTTGTTATAATTTAAAAACTAAGCTTCAGATGAAATTTTCGTAAAGGAAAAATCGTCTTAGAATTTATTCAGAAATACGACCTTTTAAGGACAAACGGTTGTTCTGAATCACTATTTATACAGGGTGGACCATTTTAATAAATCCACACGAATATCTCGAAAACTGAGCCCGATAGACAAAAATGTTTCAAACAAAAGTTGCATAGTTTCGAGCGAGCCATATGATGAAAATATGGATTTGACCTTGAGTGATCCTTTCAAGGCCAGGTCAATGTGATCGATGTTTTCTTAAACGGAACTCCCCATTTTTATTGCATATTGGGAAGTCCTACCCTACCCGCCGTATTCTCCAGACGTTGCTCCCTCTGATTATCACTTGTTTCGATCAATGGCACACGGCTTGGTTGATCAGCACTTCCGGTCTTATGAAGAAGTAAGAAATTGGATCGATTCGTGGATCGCTTCAAAAGATGACCAGTTTTTTCAACGCGGGATTCGTACGCTGCCCGAAAGATGGGAGAAAGTAGTGGCCAGCAATGGACAATACTTTGAATCATAAATGTATAACCAGTTTTTTACAATAAAACCTCGAATTTCGGAAAAAAAAACGGCGGAAGCAAAGTTGTACACCTAATATAATAAAGTATTTTTTTATTAAATACTTTTCGAATTATTTCATATCTTAATCTGACATATTTTGATATAAAAAATAAAAAATCTCATGTTAGCGGGTACAAATGAGAGAGAGAATATTAGGTTTAGAGTCACTTTAATTATCTATTTTGACTCTCGCGGCTCTAGCTAACGGTGTGTCTGTCGTCGCGCGGCGGCTGCTTATATACGGCAGCAAAATACAACCGACTTTTCGAAAGGATCCCATCGCGCGAGAGCACGTCTCGGTATCCGTCCTCGGCAGATATTATATCGGCAAACAACAAAAAACAGTAAATACGTGAGCAGGCATGATCCTAATGGTTATCTTGTTATGCCGAAAAGTCGCTAACAGTTCGGCCATTCTGACATTAAGCCGTCCCGGCCTGACTTTCGCATAAAACAGAGTCACAAAATCGCAGTCAAATACATAAAATTTATCAGTTCATAAAATTAGCGCAGATTCGCAAAGTCACAATTTTATATAGGGGCGCATTTGGTCGGACGCCACTACGCCGCTATAAGGTCGTTGCGTCAATTGAAATCCGTCGACATCAGCTATTACATATCTATCGTGATCGAGTACTCTTTTTACAACATACAAACCCTTGAATCTCGGCACAAGTTTCTTATTTATTCCCGCTGTGGTTTCTACGTTTTTAATCTCAACATAATCACCCAATTTATATTTACGGGCGGGCTTTCGCCGCAAGTTATATCGCTCGATGCTCTGTTACTGAGATTTGTTTATGTTTGTTTCGGCGTCATATCGGAGCCGATCGAGATCACGTTCCGCATCCATATCGAGTTTTCTTTTCTACTCAAGGCCAAACAACAAGCGAGTCGGAGTCTCGTCGGTTGCGCAACAGACAGTGTTATTTAAGGAATATTCAACATCTTTCAAAACGTCATTCCACCGGGAGGGTGTCATGCTCAGTTTTGCTAACATCGATGTTATTACCCGATTAAATCGCTCGACCTGCCCGTTAGCCCTCGGTGTTCCAAACAGCGACCAAAACGTGGTCGACCCTCGCAGTCTTTAAAAATTCCTTAAACGCGTCAGACGTAAAACAAGCGCCTCGATCCGAAATTAAGCGTTTCGGTTGACTATATGATCGAAAATAATCGCATAGATGATTAATTACTTCCTCCGCCGTAGTTGATTTACACGGGTAGATCCTAATAAATTTAGTAAAGGCATCAACGATGACAAATAAATGCCGATGCCCCTTCCCAGTTTTTTCTAGCGGCCCCAAATGGTCGACGTAGATAGTCGCGAAGGGTAAACTCTCTTTCGGGATGTTATGTAAATATCCCTCCGTCATGCCGCTCGACGGTGAAAACTCAATACATCGCAAGCAATTAGAGATATATTCTCTCACTTTTTCTCGGATATGCGGAACTCAGTAAATCTTAGTCATGTTATCGATGACTTTGTCAATACCTACATGACCAAGGTCGTCATGGCAAGTCCTAATTACATTGTTTTCCATAGACCGCGGCACATACAACAACAATTTCTTATTTCTATCTTTTCGATATACCAGCCCGTCACGCAATTCATATTTTATATCGCCCTTTTCAAGCTCGTTACGGATTTTCACGATTTCGTCGTCGCGGTCTTGGCAGATCGACAAGGTGCGCTCGAACGTACTCCTCTCAAGTACAAGTACGCTATGACAGCGACTAAGCGCATCCACATGACTCATACGCTTTCCCGGACGGTGGACGATCTCGCAATCGTAATTTTGCAGGAAGAGAGCCCAACGAGAGATCCGGGGATTGACATCTTTTTTACTTAAGTGAGTCGGAAACTGTCACAAGTAATGATTTTAAACTTCCGACCCGCGAGATAAACATGAAATCGTTTTATAGCGTATACGACCGCGAGACACTCCAGCTCAAAGCTATGATATTTTGACTCGGCAGGCGTCGTTCTCTGACTCTAAAATGAAATCGGCCGCCACGTCCTGTCGCTCTGTCTCTGGAGCAAAATTTCGCCGAAACCACTAATACTCGCATCGCAATGCAGCTGCTTTTCGGCGTGCGGCGAATAAATTGCTAACAC